CTAGGCGGGGCCGGGGTGGGAGGGCTCCCGGGACCGGCGGCGGCGGCCGTGCGCGCGCGTGAGTCACGCGGTGACGGGGTGTCGCGCTGGCTCAGCGCGCTTCTGCCCAGGCGCGAGCTCCGGAGAGCCTGAGTCAGGGACCAGGGGGGGGATGAGTCCTGTGACCTTGGGCTAGTCAGAAACCACCCCGGCTTCCATTCACCCACCAGAATGCTCTCCCTAGCCCTTGGCCCACTTTCGTGGACAGCATACTACCAGGCAGGCCCCGGGGGCACCCGGGGAGGAAGACCGTCCCTGTCCTCCCTGGGAGACTGGGTCTGCTGGGGCAGATGGACCGAACGCTGGACTGCCCTGCTGCAGGAAGAGAGGCACTAACGAGTACCATAGCGGCTACTGTGGACCTTCTGGGGGGCAGCCCTGTGGGGGCAGGGGGTGGGGTGGAAGCTGTCTCAGAGAGGTGATCTGGGGGTGGGGAGAATGCAAATAGAGATCTGGAAGGAAGGGCAATCTAAGCAGAAAGGATACTCCAGACCAGGAGCCCCTCCAGGTGAGATCTATAGGGAGACAGGGGCAAGCTGAAGCCCCCCTCTGCCTGGGCAGTCAGCCCAAGGAGCTGGACTTAAAGGTAGGCGATAGTCAGCGACCAGGCAGGGGAGTCCAACTGGAAGAAGCTGCCCTCCTCTACCTGAGAGTCCATGTCACAACGTTGCCCAAGGCAAGTGGGGAGCTCAGTTTCAGGAGGGAGGGCCCAGAGGGGTGCCAGGCCTCACTGGAGACATGAGAGCTGTCCGAGAGCAGGCATGGGGCAGTGACAGGCAAGTGCTGAGAAAAAATGGGAGACAGAGTGGGTGGAATGAGGAAGAGGAGGATAGCAGGCTTGCAGTGTGAGTCACAGCACTGAACGGGGTGGGCAGTGCCTGCAGGTGAGAGCGTGGAATCAGGAGGGCAGGAGTCGGCTTAAGAAGAAAAAGCCTCACTTCTAGACGGGTCCTAGAGAAGTCTAGGTAGGTGAGTCTTCATTTCCAGAAAAGAGCAGAGGGCTGGGCCAAAGATGGAAGGGTGAGCCGGGAGAGAAGTGAGGATCAAAGCCTAGACGAGATCCCTAGACGGAGGGGGCAGAGTGAGATGAGAAGGGGTCTGGCAACCGAAAGACTCCGGCACGTAATCAGCAGGCACAGGGGAAGAAAGTAAGCGGTCTGAGAGGCTTGACGACAATCAAGATTGCTGAGGCTCAAGGAGGACCGTGTAGTGATGCTCAGGAGCCCCTGGGCTGGACGGTGGGGGGTGCGATGGGACAAGAGGGAGGTTAGGGGTGTCTTGATGAGGGCATGCTCGTGGTGGAGTAGAGACCAGTGAGAACGGAGCAGGCGGTGAAGAAGTGGAAACAATGACCATTCTCAGGACATTCGAATGGAGAAGACAGGAGGTGGGTCTGTGGTGTTTCCTAACTGGGAGAGCCTCGAGCTGCGGCTGGCAGCCACTCAGAGGTGACAGGCAGTGGGTGGTGGTTAGGGACCTGGGGAGGGCCATGGAGGGAAGGTCCATTTCAAGAATAGACTGTTGGATGGGTTATGAGCATGAACATTTGAATCCATGGGTGGGCAAAGCACATGGATTTGAGTCTCCAGTTGGGACAAATGCAGTTGGGTATATGGATAGATTGTGTCAATGAATGCCAAGTATATGGATCAGAACATGGATTTGGAGAACATCCGAGGGGCCTTCCAAACGTCTGTGTAAATTTTCCATTACCTTTTAAATTCCATTTTTCCACGAGCTTTTGGAAGCTCTCTCCTACATGCAGTGAGTATAGGGAAAGGTTGGGAGCATGGGTGGGTTGTGAACATGGCTTGGGAGCTCATGAAAACTGGGTCAGGTACAGTCCTCAGTGAGGAAAGGGAGACAGTCACGGGCATGCCGGTGTAGAATGGAGATCGTTGACAGCAGAGCCAAGAGGCAAAATCCTTGAGGAGCAATGATTTGTTCTGGAGCTGAAGGAGGAATGGTCTGAAAGCACAGTGGGAGCTAGAGAATGCCCCTGACCTCTGGAAGTATCAAGTGAAATGTGAACCCCCTCTGGAGACACCAAGAGACCTGCTGGCCTCATGGAGGATGTACCCAACAAATAACCACTCCCAAGCCCCAACCTCACTGCTACCGGGTTGTTTCTGCCTCACAGTGACCAACAAGGAGGCCTGCAAAAATGATGGGTAACTGTCCATCCTTGAGGTCGTAAGAGAGAGAACACGTGATCCCCTCCGACTCTACCTCTCCTGGGAGCCACAAGGTACCATGGGCAAAATTCCACCCTTCTCGAGCCTTCCTTTCCCCATCTGTTCAAGGACAGCGTCGGACTGAATGCTTCCCAGGTGCCTCTTCAAATCCCGGAATCTTTGACCTTCACCAGTGTCGCCAATGAGATGATGCAGAAGTAGGCATGTGGCTGTGTGACATTAGGTGTGTCACAGCCTCGGAGACCAAATGAGCTCAGTCCTGTGTTGACCTACTTACAGCTCGGTGTAGGGCTTCCGTCTGTAGAGCTCCCCAACTTATCTTTCAGGACTTACGGGCCAGGGATAGGAAGGTCAAGAGAGACTTCCAGGTGAGACACATATTAGGCAGCCATTCATCTTCTCAAAAGACTGAGTGTGAATGGGATTAGAAGGGGAGGTCACTCTCTCGTGTCTACAGAGGGTTTACGGTGTTGACTTTGGGTCAACAAACCCCACCAACTGAAGAGTGTATTTTCATGGAGTAGGGTTGACTTTTCAAGCTGGATTCCCCTATAAGTCACCTGATTAGACCAACTCCTAGGGAATGAACCAACAGCTTTGAGAGATGCTCAAGGGGGGACTTGGGCTAATCGTCCCTCCGTGGGTCATGCTTCTTTCTTCTAATGACTCCACTCAGCTCAACCTCAGACTGGCAGCTTGGGACCCAGACCAAAGTTCACTTCTTGTGCTCTGCCCTCAGTCTCTTTCCTCTCTGATTCATGCCACTTGGCCCAACCCCAGACCTCCATCCTTTCCTCAGTCTACCCAAGCAGAATCTTATCTCTCGGCCCATGCCCCCTCGGTCCCTCTCACCACCTGCCCAGCACAACCCCAGCCAAGCTGATTTGCCCTTACCTTGCACTTGACTGGTCAGATCCAGCGTGGTGAGCTCTGTGACAGCATCATCGGCTCTAGTCTGGTCCAGGGCTAGGTCTGTGATTCTTCCTGGCATCAGTGGGTAGATGGCCTTGTCTGATGTGGCCACGTTGATTACACTGTCTAGTATAGTCTCCCCAGTGTTTGGGTCTGGCCCGACCAGCCCAACTGAATGCATGGTTGTGTCCTGCCTGCTTGGGTCCGAAACAAGAAAATCCATGGTTTGGTCCAGCTCGACTGTATTTGCTCTAGTCAAATCCAAGGATCTGCTCACTGCGGCCATATTCCTGGCTGAGCCCAGCTTGACAGGGTCTGAGGTGGCCATGTCCTTGCCTGGGCTCGCTGTGGTCACATCCAGCTTGCCTGGGCCTGCCATCGCCTTGAGGATCCCTGATCCCTTACGTCCTATTATTAAACTCATGGCCGGGCCAAGCTTGGTGGTGCCTGCTGTGGTCAAGTTCAGGGATTTGCTTGACTTGGCTATTCCTTCTGTAGTCAAGTCCATGGCTGTGCCCCGAGTGGTCTCCAGGGCAGGGACGTCTAGAGGGCTTCCTAGGTCTAGTCTGGCTGGGTTGAGTGAGTCCAAACCGATGGCCAGGCCCGGTCTACTGGTGGCCATGGTAGCTAAATGTCTAGCTGCACCTGCCTTTGCTGTGTCCACAGTCGTCAATTCCATGGCTATTGCAGGCGCCAAGGTAGGGGTAGCCCTTTGGAGATGCCTCTGGGATTTGGGGATGCCTCTAGGCCGTGGCTTGCCTCTTCCTGGAGAAGCTCTGGGGGGCATGTGGGCAGTCATTGGGGCAGAGTACCTGGGACCCACAAGGTTGGAGTCTGAGTGGCCCAGTGATCGAGATGGGAAAGGTAGGGCCAGGTGGGAACTCACCACATGCTTTTCCACAGTGGGCATCTTTCTGGGTTTGGCCAGACCTGAGCTTCCTCTGCCCTGGGCGTGGACCCTGTCCCATGGCACCCGGGACATATGTGGTGAACCTGGCACGGGCAGCCTCCTACCTCCACCCGTAGCAGCCTCACTGACTGGGGTGGGCACCTCTTCCCAGTGAGAAGGCTGGGGGTCCTGGGCCTGTGTCTGGCTGTTCTGACGGAGTGTTAAGGAAATCGTACTGAACTTCTTGGGAACAAGGGTGTTGCCAGGGGTAGCCCCTGGGGTGTTGCCCATCTCCTGTGGGGCCACACTTCGAACTTTGGAGCCACGGCCCGGTCGACTAGAAGCTTGTGGGATGGAGCTTTGTGGAAAGGCATCCAGGCAGATGGTCTTCCTGAGGACAGGAATGAGTTGGGGCACCCCCTCACGAAACCTTGAGGGGCAGGCAGAGGGTCCCAGCAAGTGGCCGTGGGAGAATGCAGCTCCAGGACCTGGGGCTCCGGGCGGCTGCATCTCCGGAGTAGCAGGAGCAAGGCTGTGGTCCATCCTGGCTTTTTGTCTTACCCTGAAGCAACAAGAGAGAGGAGGGCCAAGGGGCCCTGAGGCTCTCAGGCCTAGGGCCCCGCAACAGCCCTATTGACCACCTGAGGTCTCTGAAGGAACCTGGCTGGGAGCCCTGATGGCTCAACAGTTCTGCTTTCCAAAAGGTTGGCAGTTCAAACCCACCCAGCAGCTCCTTGGGAGCAAGACGTATCGATCCACAACCACAATGCTCACAGCCCTTGAAAGCCTTAGGGGGTGCGTTCTATTCTGTCACATGGGGTCACTGTGAGTAAAAAATCAACTCCACACATTCACCTGTCACAGACGAACCCCACCTTCCACCTCGGCCCTCCGGCACTCAGCTCCCACCCAGCCCAACGAAAAAATTTACATCAGGATGTGCATCCCGATGCATCCAGGAACAAGCTGCCCCCAGCATAAGGGAATCAAGGGACACTCTACTTTCCCTTTGTCTACGTGGAGGGATGTGTTGGGCTGCTCATCTCAAGGTCAGCAGTTCAAAACCACCAGCACTTCCAAGGGAGAAAGACGGGGCTTTCTACTCTAGTAAAGAGTTACAGGCTCAGAAACCCACAGGGGCAGTTCTGCCCTGTCCTACGATGGGTCGGCATCGACTCTATAGCAGTGAGCGTGGAGTTTTCTGGACCCCAAAGTGAAGCCCCTCTCTCCATAGATAACACCTTAGAGGTCACACCACACATTCGGGGACCCCCAAGAAGGACGGTGGTGGTTGGAATGTTGTCTGTCTCTCTCTCTTCTAGACGCAGCCAAGGGGTCCAGGTTCCCACCCACTGGGCTCACATAGGCGTGCGGGGCTTGGGCAATGGGCTCTGGAGCTGGGGCTCTGGTCCCCAGTGAAGAAGGAAGCAGGGTGGGCTGGGCTGGAGGCCCTGTGGCAGGTGAGGCCTGGGCTGGGTTGTGCACCAAAGGGCTTCTCCAGTGAAGAAGCCACCAACCCTCGGGGGTGCCAGAAAGGACATAGACAGGAGTCTCCAGCAGTGGCCGTTGGAGGTCCCCCGGTGAACCCAGCGTGGGGTAATTACCCTGAAGGCTTTGATAAAGCTGGGAACAGTGGCTCTTTTCTGGAAATCTGGCTCCGGGCTCTCTCTGGAACGGTGGGGGCAGACACAGCCTTGGATAAGTGGTACACACCCCCTGAAAGGTGACCCTGTCACATCTGGAGTGAGGAGTGAGGCTGGTCACTCGGAGCCAGAGTGACAGAGACCAGGGGACTCCTGAGGACGCTGTTGAAATGCTCTGTGGTGGTGGCGATGGGTGGGGAAGAGCCAACCGTGCAGGGCAGGGTACAGAAGCAACGCGATCACCTGGCATTGGGGGTGGGTGTGGGTGGACAGGGGACTCTGTGGGGGAGCATGGGCCACACTCTGAGGTGGGCCCCAGGGCCCCCCAGATGGCCAGTTGCTGCCCACTCTGTCCTTCTGAAACAAAACTGTTTCTGTCACTTCCAGCACAGCAGAGTGAGACAGGGCTTGGGGCACAGGCCAGGGAGGCTGGAGGGGTTAGTTGTGACAGTAAGGGACTCCAAGGGAGGGAGGGGGTTAATTCAGAGCCAGCTCCCTGAAGGCTGGAGCACCCTCACAGTGGTGCCCCCAACCCTTCCAGTGTGTGTGCACCCAGACTCCTCCCGCTCCCGCCTGGACACTTGCACACGTTCCCTGCACTGAGCCACACACCACGGAGGGCGGCCTTCTTGTTCTTGTGTTGATTCTGACCCATAGTGACCCTGTACTGAGTACGACTACCTCACTGCGTTTCCAAGGCTGTAACCTTGACAGAAGCCGACTGCCTCCCCTTTCTCCCGGGAGCAGCTAGTGGGTTCGAGCCTCAGACCTTTCACTGATCACTTGAGCCTTTCCCTGCAGTGCCACCAGTGCTCCTGAGAGAATGGGCACGGGGCAGAGTTTCTGAGACCTGCTTGTTTCGACATCACCACATTACCCATCTTCTCTCGAGCCTCCATCTCCTTTGGCTCACTCCATTCCATCTCCCCTGCCCCCACAAATACCCACCTACCTTAGTCTGAGCTCAGCAGAGGTTCCAGGGTCCTGGCTCTGGGCAGCTGGGCGGGTACAGGCCCCCCAACTTCCCAGCCCCTAGAGCCTGGCCACGGCAACTGGCTCAGGGGGCTCCCACTCAGCCCCCAGGCCCAGAGCCTGAGCCCCCTGCCCTGCCCTTCCAGCTGCCGCCCTTCTCTGCTGGGACCATGGCCTGGGCTGAGCTCTGGGGTTGGGAGGGCCTACTCTCTCAGGAGTGGGCGGCAATGAATGGCTGCTCTGAGCCTCTGGAATCTTAAAGGGCCTGGGAGGCTCTCTGGCAGGCCACCTGGGGAGTGGTGCCTGGCTGCCTGCCCTCAAACCTGAACTCTGCCACTCCCCCCACCCCCCCAACTGAGGCCTGAGTAGCTGGTGGTGGGTTTGAACCACCAGCCTTATGGTCAGCAGCTCTGTGCTTAACTCCATGTGCCACCAGGGCCCCTCCATAATAATGTGTGACTCCAAATCTGGCCTCACCCAGGAGGGGGGTGGGCCGCCACCTCCTTTCTGCTTCACCTCTGCATCTCTGAAGCCCAGTTTAGTGCTGTGACCCCCAAGCCATCTTGTCCAACCCCTTCGGCTTGGGCTAGGTTCCGTGAACAGGACTTGGTGGGACAAAGGCCCCAGGGTTGAGAAAATGTCCCGGCTCAAGGCTGGTCCTTTCGGAAACCCACAAGGCCGCCCAGCATGGAAGGCTCTCAGCAGACACTGGACCACAGGCTGGGCTGAGTGCCCGGCTCTGGGTCCCCACAGCCTCTGTCCCAGCAGTGATGATGATGACAAAAATGGATAATGGAACACAGTCCGTGTGGCCTGCACTGTGCCAGAGAAGGTGGGCATCGCCCAGCCGCCCAGCGACCCCACCCTCCGAGCACCCTACCTTGAGCCGGGGTGTAGGCACAGCGCGCTCCTCGAATCCCCTTTCATCATCACGGGGTCACGTGCTTTACACACCTAAGGAACCCCAGCCTCTCCATCCGAGCGCCCGCCCGGGTCTATTCCTTCTGGGAGGCGTGCTCCCCAATAGAACGTCTATGATAATGGAAACGTTCTATGTGCTGTCCAATACGGTAGCCGGGAGCCACAGGTGACTCCTATGCATTAGAAAGGTGGCAGGTGACAGAGGTGGAGGAAGTGACTTGCTAACTTGGATCTCATCCTCGTTTGTGGCTAACCTCTTAGAGGGCCCATGTTATACTTTCTTCTGGGTCCTGGGACCGGGCAAGCATCAGCCTTCTTCCCTCGTGTCTCTCCTATGAATTAATGAACGTACTGAGTAATCAGTGACTAATGTGGCGCTGGGACCCTCCCCTCTTCTCATCCATTCTCTGCCCTTCCAGCTTGAAGCTTTCCAACTCAGCTGTGCCCTGGTTACCAGGGTAACCTGCAGGAGGGTCCAGTGGGCAGTGGGCGGGGGAGGGGGAGCAGCCAGGCCTGCTCCCCTCTCCCCTCAATGTTTGAGGCCCTGTGAACCAACCCCTCTTGAGGCTGTTGGGGGAGTGACACACATTCTGCCGGGGCAGCTGGGCTGGGCTGGGGTGGCGATGGGCTTAGGATTGTCCTATTTCTGTGAGGGCAGGGGTCCTGGGTCCTATCCCACATTGACCAACCACCTGTCGACTATGAGCTAGGTGCTCACCTGTGGTCTTTTCTAGCCTAAGGATCTAGAACTTCCCATCATCCTCCTGGTCAGGCTATGAGGGCCTTGTCCATGTCCCCACCCCCGGTCCAGATCTCCAGTCTCTAAGGCAGTGGTTCTCAACCTTTAATACAGTTCCTGATGTGGTGGCAACCCCCAACCATAAAATTATTTTCGTTGCTACTTCATCACTGTCATTTTGCTACTGTTATGAATCGTCATGTAAACCATCTGATATGCAGGAGATATTTTCATTGTTACAAATTGAACCTAATTAAAGCGTGGTGATTCATCACAAAACAATACGTAATTCTATATTGTGAAATATTTATTTCTAATTACAAATAAATGAAATTTTGTCTTGAAGCATAGTGTATGTAGCATGGTTAACAGTCTTTACGCTGGGTACTTGTAGGTGGGCATATCTGTATGTGGGCAGACCCGCCTGGGAGACAGATGGAGGAGCGGTGTCTCAGTTCCTAAGACCATCGGAAACATGAAAACAGTCGTTCAATCTGCAAAGGGGTCGCCACCCACAGGTTGAGAACCACTGATCTACGGGCATGGCTTGGAAGAGGAGACTCCCAGGAACTATAGGCTGGAGTTCGGCTGCCCTCCAGTGGCCCAGAGCAGCAATGGCCATCTGATGTGTGTGCCAGGCCTTCTGTCCTTCCCAAGAACCAAGTGGATGGGCTAGGAGGGACCTCAGGGGACCCAAACGTTAACCCCAGAGAAAAGTTAGTGCAGCGACCTTCCGAACAAGTGGCGCGGGCTCTGCAGTGTCCATGTCTGGTTTTGTTCGGGCTGTGTGAGTCGGAATGAGGCACTGCGTCAGTCAGAGTGGGCTAGGGGATGTGTTGGTCACAAAGAACACCCCCCCACCCAGGCTCAGGCCGAGCCAAGGAGAGAGCAGAAGGCCATGTACTGGCGATGACGTCTTGCCTTGGCCTGACTCCCTTCTGGTCTCTTACCAGGCCAGCCTGCACCCACCCCCCACGCCCCACTCCGTTGCCCCATTACAAGGAGGCAAGGAGGTGTCCCCTGACCAGGTGCCCAGAGCCGATGAGTCAGATATTTGGGAACCGTGAGCATGGGTGTGAGCTGCTGGCATGGTTGGTGTCAGAATGCAAAAAGGAGAAGTGTCAGGCAACGAGGGCCTTGGCAGCCAAACGGGGGCCTGTCGATTCCATTTCCTTGTTTATTTCCCTCCTTGACTTTCTTTGACTCCTACGCCGGTTGCAGCTGTTGACAGCTACAGAAACAGAGGGAAACCTCAGCTGGACCAAGAC